GAAGCCTGCGGCCTGAGGCCGGCACCACCCTCCCCCTCTCCTCCAATCTCCCACTTCCACCTGCGGCAGACCTTGCACCTGAGCCAGCCGTCTGCACCCCAGAGTGGAGGGGCCAGGCCGCGACCCCGCGCCGCCCCCCTCCCAGCGCCCGCGCCCCCAGGCCCGCAGCGCGCGCACACCCGGCCGCCGCGAGCACGCCGGCTGCCCTCTTCCCAGACCCCTCTGAGGTCACTTCCAGGAGGACTCTTCCTTAAGGAAGATCCGACTCATACAGAACGCAGCCCACAGCCCTCCAGAAGGCCAGGCGGCCTCCACAGGCCGGCAGTGACATCATAGGCTCCTGCTTGCCACGCTCGCGCCCGCATTTTAGGAGACAGGAACAAACACGGATGTGAAATCAAGAATGAAAGAGACAGTAATCTAATTAATAGGCCATGAGCCAGGCTAACAGAATCAAAGAATCCGATTACACAAGTACCCCTCTTGCTATCTCCGCCGCCCCGCCCACACCCGTCTCCTCCAGCCTCCCCGCCGCTTCCTTTGCTAGGTTGGAAAGTCCAGGAGGCAAACCCAGAGCCCTCCGATTTCCTCACTGAAATCAAGATCAAGCCCACGGTGGGGCTCCATCAGCCGGGAGGTCACGTGGGTGACCTTCGGGCCCTCGGAACAGCCGCTCTGAGGAACTGAGATGACCAAGTGACCTACAGAATTTGCAAAGCTGGAGAGGTGACCCCTACACTTCCTACAAGTATCACTCTCAACCACAACCACGACCACGACCACGACCACCATCACTACACCTGCACTGATTGCTTCTGCTGTAACAGGACCAGGAGAGAGCCATTCTTCACTCAGAGCCATTTTAAGAGGGTCTACTTTTTCAAAAAGCCATAGCACAACTCTTTTTCCACATCACCTTGCTTCTGGGTCACCGATAACCTCAAAGTTTTAACTCTCCTTCCACACCCTTCCCCACCACAGACATCTGAGCACAGCCAGGTACTAGGTTTTATCACTGCTACATAGCATCTGTTCTAATAGGTCCAGTCAGCCATGTGCAATTCATGAGAGAAGTGGATTCTCTCATTTCTATCCTTCTGCCTTGAAAAAAACCAGGTCCACCTCCTAAATAATTAATTTCAAGTCTGCATCCAGTGCCAATACTTGTTGCATCCATTTTAGAGTTTGATTAATTACCCTGGAACTTGGGCAAACCAAACTCAGTGTGGAGAGAATGTTTCTTCCTTCAATTTAGTTCTGAAAGCTACAAGTTAGTGATGGATCTTTACTCTATTTACATACAAATTGGTGCAAATATGGCCATCTCTTAAAATGCATTTTGTATAAATATATAAAAGTGTCATTTTTGATTTAGCTTGAAGAGGTTGATCATTTATTACAAAAATAAACGAATAAATACAACAATATATTGTTGCTTCCAACAGGATAAATACTTTACAAATATATAATTTAAAAAACAAATTTAATTGTTAAAATTATTTAAAATATTACACTTATCGATAAAACTATCAATAGCATAGACTGCATTTAATATTAGAACCGATTATTCTCTGAATGTTGAAAACCATTCATACAAAACAGATTATGAGCATGGTAATGAGCGTACACTGGGGGCTACAGGGGGGCAAAGGGAATCTTTAAGATCAATAATGAATAGTTCGGTTTGGGAACAAAGAAGTAGTCCTTGGCTAAGTACTTAAAGAAAAAAAAAAAAGAAAAAAAAAAGGCAGAGCAACAACAACAAAGTGACTATTTTAAATACACCTTGAATGATTTATCGCCCAGAGTTGCAGGGGAAGATGGTTGGGTGAATGAGATGGCTGTAGCTTGGACAACTGATCAGAAGCCACGGGAGACTGCAAACTATAAATGGGCCTAGCTTGGGATTAGCCAGATTGATGGAACAGAACTTTGTCACTTTCCTCTGAGTTGGAAGGGGAGGAGGGGGTGGGCTGAAATGGAGGAAACAAACGAACACTTGACGAAGCACAAGACACTTGCGCTACAAAGGAACACAATGACCAAATTCATTAAAAAGATCTGGTGATATATAACAATATTTTCATTATTTACATGTGTAACAATATAAGCCTTAGCACAAAACCTCTCAGTTGTATCTGCCCTCACTTGTTTTGCAACCATGAATTTCATTTTGTAAATACATTCAAAGGGTTGATTTTTTAAAAAAAATATGGAGTGCAAGCATGAGCTCACTTAAAAAAAATACAAAATAATGGAATAAAATGGGCCAGCTTTCCCAGCTGCTCTAAGTTACTCTGCTACCTCTAAATCAGAGCTTCTTCCAAAGTAAACAGCAAAGGTTACTTTTTAATAGAAAACAGGGTGAAATCCAATGTTAGTTCTTTTGTTGTCAGCCAAATCAAGTAAGCAAATGCCTCCTAACATTTGAAATAGACCCATTCTCTGTCTGATCAACCACTACCAGTCCTGTAGGGAACATAGGTTTTCATCTCACGCGCCAGTAGCATCCACCCTATGAAAACAACCACACCCGATCCTCAGCTTTCCAATAAGGCCTTCCGTGCTTGCCCCTGTAGACCCTCAAAAAATGATAAAGTTTGTCACCACACCCCCACTCCAGGTTGTAAATTTGCTGGGCAAAGAGATTACAATAGCAAGACAAATAGGAAACGGGAAGGCAAAGAAAAGTAAATTGTGGTTTCTTGTTTTCATTTTTTCCCTGCTCTCTGTTTAATAAATATGGCCTTTTTCAGATTTCACAAATCAAAATGATTGTGATTTTTAGTACGATTTGGTGTTTAAAATAATGCAACCCAATACACGGCCATCTGGCTGGGCTTGATTTATGAAAGTGACACAGGGTCTGTCTGGAAGAAATAACTGCTCCTTGTTGCTCTCACAGTTTTCCGGGTTTTTTAACCCCTGCATTGATATCACAGGGAGAGGGAGTAAAGATGAGAGAAGACGCAAAAAGTGAGTGACAGCTCAATGAGATTAGGGGGAAACTAATCTACAAAATCATTGCTTTATCACCCCCAAATACTTTTTTTTTTTTAAGTACAATACGAAGGGACTCAAGGAAGCAGAGCCTTTTGCGTCTTGTTACTTACAACCTGAGGCATTACACTTTCATTTTCCCACATTGTAAATATTGATACATTAACTTGATAAATGTGACCGCTCTGCAGGGTGTATCTAAAGAGTGATCAAAAAGTGAAAACCCTCAGCACCGGTAAAGAAAATATAGAATCATACTGGGGAAAGAGGGAAACACAGGAAAAATGTAGAATCTTAAGTCTAAGCTGGTGATCACACTGAGGGTAATGCAGTGTGGTCCACAATGAGGGGTTTAGAACTACATTCTCCCATATTATAGAGAAAACAAACAAAACAACCCCCCCAAACGGCTTAATAATTTAAACTTAATTACATATAGTTATTAATGGGAAGTAATTGATATAAAAATATTTCATCGACTTGTAAGCTATTCTTTACCACTATTAGTCTTCAGAAAAAAGAGGAAAGAGATGTAGCAATATGATGGGGGAGGGGAGATGAGAGGGAAAAGAGAGGCTAAACTTTGGTGGTGGTGGTGAGGGACTCTGTGTTCACCATTAATAACCAGTTGGCACGTTTTTACTGGGGATGTAGTCCAACATTCTGATAAAGGTGATAAAGGACACAGGTATCTCTGAGAAAAGGACTAGCATTTAGACAATCTCACCTAAAAACACTAAAAACACCCACTAAAATTAAGGGAGGGACAAATTTTGTGAAATTAACAGACTAACAAGGAGTGACTACGTGGTCAGTTACTAGCGGTTTCTGTCATTACCTTTTATTCTAAATTTGCAAATGTACCTTAGGTGGAGCAGACGGCTTCCTCAGCTCTATCCCTTCAGGATTTGCATTGTAAAAAACTATTTTCTAAAGGACTCTTTTCTTCCCACACAGTGTTTATGCATCAGACACAGACTATTTCATTCTAACAAATTTATTTTCTCGATCAGCTCTTATGGAATCACTACTCAAATTAAATTACAATCAAATGATCACATCAAAAGATACCCTTATTACCTAGCAACTGTCCATATTTTCATTTCATTTTGATTTGTGCTCGTCTGAAAAAAACACGTAATACAAGATCTGGGGAAAAATAAATTACCGTTTTGCAGCAGTTCATAAGTATTCTGAATAAAATATTAAAAGAAGTCATTTAATGAAAATATAAAGCAAATATTTTTAGATCAACAACGGATCTAACAATTCTATATTGCCGTCTTTTGAAAAGTCTGTTTATTAAAACCTACCAAAAACACTGCTTGGAAAGGGCAGTATTATATAATCACATCCACAGCACCCATTCAATCAAAGTTGGCAACGGATTGAGGAGAAGAGTCCGGAGAAGTGCTGTCTTTCTAAATCCCTTGATCTGAGTCAGTCCAGAAATAAAAAATAAAAAATATTAATAAAAAAAATATTAGCGGTGGCATCTTTAGGCGTCGTCCACCCATCGGAGCGGCAGCCGATAAGCCGGGGTTGGATGCCGGGCCTCGCTCCGCGCCCAGTCCGCCCGCCCGCTCCCGGATTCGCCGGGGCCTCTCCCACTGGCCGCTGGACATCCCCTGCTCCCTCGCCCATCCCTCTGCTCTTTCGAGATGCTTTTATTTCCAAGGTTACTTTGAGGATACGTATTCTTTTTCTTTTGGCTTTGCTATCACTCTGTTAATTTCAGAAGCTGTGAATACATATATGTATATATATATATTTCTTGTTTTCCAGAGATTGTTCTTTTTTTTCTCCTTCCCGTTTCATAGTCAATTTGTTTGTCCCCAAATGACTTTGATATGGACAAGAATAACAGGGTCCGGGAGCACAGAGTCACCCCTGATTAAACCCGGTGCCTCTGCCTGCTTTCTGGTCGCTCCCAGGAAACAAAGTTTCGGTGGATCTCTCGAGGCGAGGGTGGGGGGGCGGCCCTTTGGAGGGAGGAGGTGGGAGGGAGGGGGGATGCTTTTTTTTAAACAAATGTTTGTTTGTTTTTAAGAGGATAGGACGAGGCAGGTGCTAAGTGCTCTCCACCGTCGCCCCGTAGGACTTCTCAGGGTGGGAAAAGCCTCGCGAGCGCAGTTTTGGGGCGCTAGGCATCTTCACCCTTCTTTAAAAAGAAGCCCCCAAACGAACCCCCACCAGAGTAGAAACGAGATCTCACGATCGCCCCCTTTTTTCTTCCGGTTTTGCCACGGTCGTGTATATAAAACAGTCTGGGCATTTCTAGGCTTTGTTTGATTGTTTCGCCCCTCCTTCCTTGGACTTCAAACGTCTCCTCGGTGCGTCCCTCTCCTTTCCCCCCGAGGGCGGGCAGGCCTGTCTTTGGGAGGAGGGGAGGGCGGCCCGGCCCGCCCGGCCGCGGTGGCGGCGGCGGCGGCGGCGTGACAGCGGCGGCGACGGCGGCGGCGGCCCGCTCCGCGCTGCGCCCGGGCCTTCACTGCACGCTTGTCTGCAGCCCGTGGTGCGGCGGCGGCGTGTCGGCGCTCACGGTGCCCACCTGCGAGTAGACGTCGTCAGGCGTCTGCTGCTGGATCCCGGGCGGCGTCATGCGCTTCTCCTTCTGGCGCCGGTTGCAGAACCAGACCCGCACCACCTCCTTCTCGAGCTGCAGGCTGTCGGCCAGGTTGGTGATCTCCTGCGCAGAGGGCTTGGGGCACTTGAGGAAGTGGCTCTCGAGCGCGCCCTTGACGCTCACCTCGATGGAGGTCCGCTTCTTGCGCTTGCGGCCCTGCGCCGCGATCTTGTCGATGCTCGTGGGGCTGCCGGTGCTCGAGTCCGCCTCCTCCAGCCACTTGTTCAGCAGCGGCTTGAGCTTGCACATGTTCTTGAAGCTCAGCTGCAGGGCCTCGAAGCGGCAGATGGTGGTCTGCGAGAACACGTTGCCGTACAGGGTGCCCAGCGCCAGCCCCACGTCGGCCTGCGTGAAGCCCAGCTTGATGCGCCGCTGCTTGAACTGCTTAGCGAACTGCTCCAGGTCGTCAGACGTCGGCGTGTCCTCGTCCGAGTGCGGGTCGTGGCTGTTGAGTCCGGGCCCCGCGCCGCCGCCGCCGCCGCCGCCGTGGTGCGGGGGTCCCTGCGCGTGGTGCGGGTGCGGCGGGTGCGCGTGCGCGTGGTGGTGGTGGTGATGGTGGTGCTCGGCCAGGTCGGGAGTGTCCCCGCGCACCAGCCCCGGGTGCACCAGGCTCTGGGCGCCGCCGCCCGCGCCGCCGCCGCCGCCACCGCCCGGCCCCGGGGGCGCGCTCAGCATGCCGTTCACCGTGAAGCCCCCGGGCTGCGAGTAGAGCAGGCTCTGCGGCGGCGGCTGCTGGCCCCCGGCCATGGACGGGAGGTGCGCGGCGGCGGCGGCGGCGGCGGCAGCGGCGGCGGCGGCGGCGGCGGCCCCCCACCCCGGGGTGGCCCTGGTGCGGCGGCGGCGGAGGCGGCGGCGGCCCGAGGTGCGGCGGCCCGCGGTGGTGCAGCGCGGTGCCCGCGTGCAGATCGTCGCGCCCCGCGCCGCCCTTCACGTCGGGGCCCTGGGGCGGCGGTGGCGGCGGCGGCGGCGGCGGCTGCTGGGGGCTGCCGGCCATTCCCACGGCGCTGCCGGACCACGGCGAGCTCGCCTCCACGGCGGCGGCGGCGGCGGCCGCGGCGGCGGCGGCGGCGTGGGGCAGGGCCGTCACCCACTGGTGCGCGTGGCTCAGCATATGGCCGCCGTTGCTGGCGGCCATGGCCCCCTGCATGAAGTCGCTCTGCACCATCTTGACGGAGGCCGGGTCCCCCCGGTAGGCACCCGAGGTCACGGCGGCGCTGCCGGGCGGCATGCCGCCGCCGCCGCCGCCCGCCCCGCCGCCGCCCCCGCCGCCGCCGCCCCCGCCGCCGCCGCCGGCCCCCGCCGCGTCCGAGTGGACGATGGAGCCGGCCGCTAGCAGGCTGTTCCCCGGCAGGTAGGGATTAGAGGCCGCCGTGGCCATCCCGCTCCGCTCCCGCCACCCTACCGCCGCCACCACCGCCGCCGCCGCCGCAGCAGCAGCCGCGGCCGCCGCCGCCGCCGCCGCCGCGCCCCCCCGCCTCCCCCCGCTCCGCCCCCGCCCCGGGCCCCCGCCGGCCCCGCCGCCGCCGCCGCCGCCGCCTCCGCCCCCGCCGCCGCAGCCGCGGCCGCCGGCTGGCAGCTGCAAGGCCGCTGGGCAGGGCGCGGGGGTCGCCGGCCGGCCTTGGTCAGCAGCCGCCGCCGCCGCAGCCGCCGCCGCAGGAGCCGCGCTCCGGGGAGGGGGGCTCGCTTCTCGGCGGGGCGCGCTCCGTGGCCGCCCCCCTCAGGGGGGGTCGTGGCCGCCCCCCAGCCCCGGCGCGATCGGCTTGCTCCAGCGGGGCTCGCCGGGCGGGGCGCGGGCCTGCGCCGGGGCTCCTGGCCGGGCGCGCCGGCTCGCGCTCCTCCTCCTGTCCTCGGGCGAGCGCGGACTCTGCCGGGGCGCGGGGCTCGGTCCACCTGCTAAGTGGAGGTTTTGCTGTAGGCAACAAAGAAAGCAGCCGCTCCTTTCTTCCGGACCAAACCGTGGACTACCGGCGACCGGCCGCTCCTCGCCGCCTCCTCAGGAACGCAGCTCACTCGTCTCCCCTTGGAGTAGTAAAACTTTTTTTTGTCCTTGAAGGCGTGGTGATGCTGGCTGCTCGCGTGCGGAGAGGAGAGGCTGGCTCCTGCTCTCCCCCTCCGGTCCTCTCGTTTCAAGTTTTGTTCTGTCCTAGGAAAACTTCTGGCGCTGGTGCATTTCTCTGAAGTTGCTATTGCCGGAGCTCGTGGTTGCCTCTGAAACAACAGTCCTTTTTCATTCTCCTCGCAACAGTCACAGTCTGATGCGACATCTTTCCTTCTGGGTAGAAATTAGGAGACAAATATAACAAGGAAAAAAATTGAACAGGAGAAAAAGGAGGTCGAGTTTCTCGGTTACCTTGCTGCTGACGGTTGGGGTTGGTGTTTTATTTTTTTCCCAGCAGAGGTCTGCAGGAGGAGGAAGAAGAGTGCACTGGTGGAGGTGGAGGTGTGTGTGTGCATATAGGGGATCCGTGATACACAACCAACTCCAGTGGCACGACGCACGGCTCGGAGGCTGCCCCGACGGCGCTGGCGCTGGCCGTGCCGGAGCGGAGTTGCCGCGGGAGCTCGCTCTGCGCCCTGGTTCGCGCGCTCTCCCTCTCTCTTCCCCTCTCCCTCCCTCCCTCGCTCTCGCTCTCTCGCCCTCTCGCCCGCCCGCTCGGATCTGACAGTTCGCTCTCTGTCCCTCCCTCTCCGAGCGGGGACTGTCGAATGTTTACCCTCTGCCGCGAGCGCGCACCCACCACTGCACTTTCCCAAATACAAGGAAGTCGAGCACCAGGGCCCCCGCTGATTGGCTACCCGCTGGGTGATTGGCAGGTCCGGAATGACTGGCTCAGGACGCGCGGCCCCCCTTCCGGCCGTTCCGATTGGTTGCTTTTTAATTTAGGCAGAGCGTCGTAGAAGCTGGAAATCTGTCGTCCCCCCCTCCCCCCGCCTCCTCCCTCCGGTTCGCCACTTTCTCCTCCCCGCCCCTCCTCCGCCACCCCCTCCGCCACATCTTAACTCTTAGTGTCCGGCCGAGACGTAGGCTTTCCCTCCGTGGCTCTGGGCATCTCAATAGGTCTGGGAGGGGGAGGGGAGGGAGAGGGGGAGGGAGAGGGGGAGGGGGAGGGAAGAAAGGGAAAGGAGCGGGGGGGGGGGGCGTGCGGGGGTCCGAAGGAGAACGTAGAGGGGAAAATCGTGAAAAATAGCAACCTATCCACTCCACCTGGTACCGCGTTGTGCTGCCGTCCTCCCCGCCCCCCACCCCATCCCAGAGATCGGTAACGCGCCCGGCACGGATGTGCCATTCACGCCAATACCTATAGGCAGATGTGTCCCCAGTGGTTTCAAAGTTTCCTTGCTCCTCCACCAGCCGGCCCCCGTCCCCGCCTCGGCGGGGGTGGGAAGGGGGAGCTGGCGGCGCCGAGAGCCCGGGTAGCGGCCGCGCTCCTTGGAAATCCGCCACCGCAACTTTCCGCAGCCGCTTCGCGCCGGCAGCCGCCCCCTTTGTTTAAGTTCTCGGATGCCATAGTCTGGGAAACCTGCAGCCCGGGACCAGCGCCGGGCCCGCGCGTGCGAGAAGGACCGCAGGCTGCAGCGCGCTCCCCACCCCCGCCTCTCCCTTCCCCCGCCCCCTCCGCCGGGATTCCGGCGAGGAGCGCGCGTGCCCTTGCGAGTCCCGGGGTGCCAGGCGGCGGAGCGCTCGGCCGACCTTCCCCCTAGACACACCGTTAGTGTGTCTCCCCCCGACCCCCCCCGATCCACCCCCCGACCCCCAAAGGCGTCGGGAAGCCTGCAGCAGCGGGAGCGGCCTAAGGAAGCGGATCCGCCCGCCGCGCCCTCCACCGCTCACACTGTGTGCGGGTGCGTGTGTGTATTTCTTTATTTCGGTGCGGTCGTTATTAGCGGTGTTTCGCCTGCTCGGTATTCTTGGGCACGCTGGGGCTTTCTCTTTCTCTCCGGCCTCGGAGGGTCTGCGGCGGGCGGCGCTGAGCGCGTTCTCAGCCCAACCCGGCGGAAAGAGTTAAGGGAGCCGGGAGGGGGAGCGCGCGGGGTGGGCGGGAGAAGAGGGGGTGGGGGGAAGCGGCCGAGCGGAAACGCTGCACAGAGGAGCCTCAGCGAACCAAGAAAAAAGAGAAAGTGGCCACGAAAACAAGGGCAAATTGAACCCTCCTCGGGGATTTCCAGTGAACTAACCCGACTCGGACATTCAGTAAATACATCGTTCCTAATGAGTGTGCGTGTGCTTGCACCCCGCACCCGGCCGCGCTGCACCGGCCCTGCCCGCCGCCCCGGACGCAGACGGGGAGCCGCCGGGGTGCTCGGGGCTGCCCTTCTCCCGCGAATAATTCCTCTCCTGAGCGCAGTTAGGGGTACTCAGAGCCGGAGCTCTCCAGCCCAGTCGCAGACACGCAGCCCTTGCGAGATCTCGAGATGAACAGTGGGCGCGTAGCATTTGTGTAGGATCTGGTCCAGCTCCTGCGTGCCGGGCGGGGGGGAGAGATGCCCTCGTAGGTAGGTTTTAGTGATTCCATTATTGCGAAGGTATAGACCTGAACGGCGGCGGTAACCAAACCCCAGACAGAACGGATTTTTCCCTGTGCGTCCCCCTAAGGTTCCTTTTTATATTTATGTATGCGTATATGTATATATGAAAGATGGAACACAGATTTCATTGAATAAATCTGAGATCTCCAGGTGCAAACGTTTGAATAGTCGGTGCCAGCACCCCATGTTTTCCTTTCCTGCCGATTTTGCTTGGATTCGGCTCAAAAACCGAGAGAGTCTCGTGGTTTTGTTTACACTGAATGGGGAGGATAGGAACAGAGCCATGGGGCCCCTTTCATTAATATACAGTGAGGATTTTGTCTAAATTACTGCTATGAATTTCACAGTACACGCTTTCAAAAGCAGTCTCAGGTGGCCTGATGAAACGTGATAACGCTTCTGCTATCCACTTTACACACATCCACTTTCTTTCTTTTCAAGGAGGGTGTGTGTGCGCGTACGGGAAGCCCCCCAAAACGCCTTGCTCCTCGAAATCAGAAATACACTTCTGTTCCGAGCTCTGTCCCCTTCGTCCTCCCCCTTCGCGTACTTAGTTCTCCAGTCGCTCCCCAGCCCCACCCATCCGTCCCCTCCCTTTGCCGAGTGTGATTGTTTTGTCTGGAAAAAAAAAAATCCAAAGTATATAACAAGGGGAGAACAGTTAGTGCTGATTTTCATTTGCATACATTTTCATATATTTTGGTGAAAATAATAGACTAGTGGAGAGCTGGGCTTAGAGGAGTCGCTGGAAAGGCAAGACTAAGGAAGCACCGCTTCTGGGGAGTTGAGAATATGCCTCCCCCCACCCCAGTCACCTTATTATTATTTTTTTAAATGAAACATCTTCATTTATTTTAAAATCTAACCTTGGAAGTTTGCTCGGTAAGTGTTTTTCATTTTCTTTCCCTGCTTTCTCTTTTCTGCCCCTCCTTTCCGGTTTATTTATGCTCTTGTAGGTTTGGGAGCTTGTTTCCAGTGCTTGGGACAAGAGAGGGCAACTGTTTTGAAGGAAGGAAGGGAAAGAGTGTTGGGGGGAGAGTTAAAAAAACCCAACCCTGCTAAAATATTACATAAAACGATGGCCTCATTCCAAAGCTCCCCACGGCAAGGCACTTCACTTTTTTTTTTTTTTTTTCTGGGGAGGAGGAGAGTGCTATTAATTTTAATTGTTGATTGTCAGGGAAATATAAAGGCCCTAGAAAAAGAAGTGATGATGAAGCACGCAGTATTATAAATATTTCTTGTTTTGGGGTTTCTTTTTTCTAGAGAATCAGGACTAGAGGGAAAGAAACCCCTTTTCTGTAGCCAATGCTGATGTGTTGAACTACGTGTGCCTGCCTGGGGTTGGGGTGAGGGATTCCTGCTGGGAGCAGGGGGATGGTGTGAGGGAGGGGGGCTTGGCAAAGGGAGGGCAGAGAGCTGGAGAAGAAGGAGGCAGGTGATGAAGAAGTGGCAGGAAGTCGGTGCCCCCCTGGTTAAGGCCGCGTCTGGGGAGCTGGCCGCAAGCTGCAGTCTCCCAGCTCGGTAGTGAAAGGCCATCAGAAAGAGGGTGATCAATCAAAACTAACCAGGACACCTTACACTTTATTCCCAAAGGAGGCTGGAGCTTTAGCGTGGCATAGTGTTTTACTTTGTTTTCTATTTTTGACGGCCGGCCTTGCCCCCCTCACCCCGCCCCCCCCACGACTCTCACCACTGTCCCTGGGTTTTGTAAAAATTAAGGGTGCCTTGCTTGCTAGGTGCAGTTAATTCGAGAAATATGGCTGGAGGAAATAGCTAGGCCAAGTCCAAGCCCATGTGAGAACCTTACTTACTGTAGTGAAATGGGCTGGAGAGGATCCTAAAAGGTTCTTGGTTTTGTTCTTTTTAGAGGAAGTCATGTCTGG